AATCAAATGGATCGACTGGGTTTTGTTTGTGACGAAAAAAAATGTAAACAATCCAAAGCAATTAGTTCAAGCGATCGAAAAAAATTTTTTTTCTTGACTCGAGAAAAGCTTTTTTGGGCTCATAGTTTTTGTGTCACCATTCAGTACTAGTCCTTTTGAGAAATGGATAATGGGAAATGGATTTTAAATTTGTATTTTCAAAATGGCCAGCATTTAGTATTACTAGTTACAACAAAAATACTCAAATACCTTACCTGACGTCAYCATCATTAACATATTGGAAGTATAAACCTTCATAAAAAAAACTTAGAGACGCATCACTCAATCAAAAAATACTTTATCAATCAACTATTTACTTAATTCAGAACCAGTACTGAAAGTATTGTCAAAGGGTTTATTTGCACTTTAACCATTACACACTCTTGAGCAATCAAAACACGCTTCAAGAGTGYCAATATTGCCCAACATTCCCCAAATACCTTCTACATAAAAAATTACACTATTAAGCATTAATGATTGTTAATATTATGAGCTGTAGTCATTGCTGATGGCTGATATTCTTCCGACTTTAAATAGGTATTGTCACACTGCTTTAAACCATATTTATTACCAATTGAAAATAAAATGCTAAAAAGGAAAAGTCTAGTCTATTCGGTGCATTGTTTTCACGGCTATAGACCAAATTCAAAACTCGCACCGATGTGAGGCTTAAGTTGTGAACAAAGGGATCTGGCGTGACTCAAAGTAATCTGGCGTGATTCAAAAGTCACGAATCACGCCAGATTCCTTTGTTCACAACTTAAGCCTCACATCGGTGCGAGTTTTGAATTTGGTCTATTGTTATGCTGATTCACATGGAACCGTTGTCCAGTGGATAAATCGTTGTCATTCTCAAGATACTGAGTCAAGCTCGTCTGAGGAGGATTAGCACCTGGATGGGTGAGCTAAACATTATAGTACTCACTCTTTTGCTCCTTTTTCCCGGCCTTTTTCTTTCTTTTTGCTTTTAAAAATAATAGAATATAGAATAGTTGTTTAGTAAACATTAGAATGTGGATTTAAGCTAAGATTCAAAATCGTACCTAGTCACTTCTTTCACTCGCGCTGTTGTTGCGCTGTGGTTGATGGGAAGGATTTAGTGAGTTTGCAGTGAATCAACTGCTTCCCAAAAGCCTTTACATGCATTCATCCCCTTCCCATATTCCATTGTGAATAGAAGGAATAAATTCAAGTGAATAGAAGGAATTTCAAGTCAGGTTTTTAGACTTCTAAGTGTGAATAAAATATCTATTAATTATAATAATATGTAATTATTCGCTTAAAGAATTCATGGTCCTGACTCCCCCCTAGTTACCGTTGCTATGTCCCACAAGCTCATCAAATAAGCTAGAATATCTCGCAATTCTTTCGCACCATGCACGGTCTCATCTCGCTTGGCTGTTTTCCGATTTACTCCCGAAGTATGGTAATAAACAGTCGTTTTTCTTTTATTCAAACGCGGGACGTTTGAATATCGCATGCGAATGGATGGGAAAACAATTCTTGTGTTGTTACTATAGCCCAGTTATGTTGTGCATGTGATTATTTAAAAAACGTTTTTCTATCAAATTTTGAGAAGTATATATACAAAACTAGCAATCGTATAGTCTATTTAATACGAAATAATTTAAATATTTTCAGCAGAAAGAATCGTGCACAAGCACGAGCAAAGGTTGTTACTCTTGTCTTACTATACTATCATTGATAAAATCAAGAGAGCAGAAATAATAGAGGGAAGCTTCTTATTTTGGCGCTCGCCATGTAAATTCCTGGTTGGGCTATTTTTAGTAACCAGATGCAGTTTCCGTTCATGCTCTTTGTGTTTATTGTTTTGACCACTAAAAACGAAACGGAAACAGCGTGTGAGCAAGTTGATGACGCACGGGAGTAGGGTAAGGTGAAAGTTAAACTGCAATGATCTGGTTACTAAAAATAGCCCATCAGACGCAAATTTACATGGCATGCTCCTCAATAACAAGTTTCCCTCTAAATGTAATAATGATAAATAATATCATATAATAAAACAATATAAAACACATATCACACATTACATCAACTGATAATATTTTTAAACATTAAACTAAATATGGGTTATTTACAAACCAATTACTTTTCCCTTTGCTAATAAATGTTTACAACAAGATTGGCATTACTTCATCAAGTCTACAATATTAGATATTAATACAAAGCTTAGCCTGCGTAGCACCACTTTAAATAAAAGGGCCTGCAACGCTATGAAGGTGAG